AGCTCATCTGTCTCCTCTGCCTTCCCCTCTCTTTTCTCCTCTCTTATAATTTAAACCCAAAAGTAAATCCAATGAAGTGGTCGGATTTATGCTTTGTATTGCATGATAATCCAATTGAAAACATTGCATCTCATACCCAGCGACCAAGATTCCCAATAATGGATGCATTCAATACCCATAGAAGCGTAAGTCCAGCCAATAGCCAAGATTACCCGAGAGCCTAGCAATGTTGTCGTCATCATCTTTATCCATGCTTTCTTCGAAGAACAACTATCGCTGTCTAGAAACCCCCTAATCTGTCTATCCACCTTCTTATTTATTTATTTATTTATTTTTAAAAAATTTGATTTTATTGATATGGATCATTCAAAAAAGACAAAAAATATTAATAAAAAGTGTACATATATATAGTATTTCAAATTAAGTTTCTTTTTCTTTTTCTTTATTAAAAAAAAAAAAGTTTATGTTTTCGGTCTTATTTGGGTTTGAAAAAGAGCCAGAGAGCGTGGCTGTGACGGCAGAGTGAAAACTAGAGTTGAAGGGGAAAATAAGTCATTCGTCGACGATGATTTGTGGGGTGGAAATGAAAGTAGATGAAACAATAGTAAGGGGTTGTTTGGGATGAGCTAAATAAGTGTACTTTTTATCTTTTTATGAAAAGATGTGCAGAAAAGTAGAGAAGGGATGTGATGAAAAAAAGATAAAAAGATAAAAAAATGAATTATTTTAAAGATGCCAAACTTGGCCTAAGAAGAAGAAAGGAGGAGAGAGCGAGAATCCCTTACAGTGGTTTAACAGAGGTGGGCAGGGGTGATATTTTTTTTTTAATTAATGGACACATGGCAGCTTAGGAATCACGGGACAGGAAGTTGGGACAGAAAATAGGTACAGGTGATCTCAACCCGTTAAACAGAACTCAACAACTCTACCGCGCTGCGCTACCTCAACGTCATCACATTTTGCATCCAAAAAATAAAAACAAAGGCCTCTTTTAGGGAAAAAAAAATAAAAATAAGAAAGAAGAAAGTTAAAAGTGAATTTTTAATTTATTTTAAATTATATCATTCTTTCTATTTTTTTTATACATTTTTTAAAGGGAAAATTAGTCTAAGGTCCTTCTCCCACTTTTAGTAATGGAAGATATCCATAATGTTATTTTATGATTTCTAAAGTCCTTCAAGCCCAAACTCATATATCACGGAGAAATTTAAGAAGAAACGAAAGGCTTCAAAACTAAGTTTGGTCTCTCCCTCTCTCTCTCCCCTACATCAATGGCAGCTGGGTTAGTATCCAACGACGATTTCTTTGCTGCAAAGTCTTCGGCCGTTAACCAGCCGTGTTGTCTCTGTTTACAGCGAGATTCAAGGTCGTCCATGGCCTCCTAGCTTCGCTGGCGGTGACCCCAACTCTTTCGTCTGCTCCGTCTGCTTCACCGCCACTGCTTCTATCTCCTCTCACCTCACCAAACCTCCCTTTACTTCCATCATCAAGCCCTTTGTTGAATCTCTTTTTACTGAACAAGATCACAGTTCACAGATCACAGTTCACAACTGTTTGAGCATGTCACCTTGTGTTCTTGTGTCTGGGAAGTTTGGTTGGTCTGCAAATATAGAGAGGTGAAGTGGATTATTCATGCTTCATAGGTGTTATAGTTTTAACAGTTTCTTCTGACATTCTTGACACATAATTGAATTCCTTGCAGGCTGATGAAGGCTCAAACAGTTGGTGACACCACTAGCCTGGAATTCATGAGAGGAAGAAGGGTGTTTGAGATCAATCCTCAACACCCAATCATTAACACCTTGAATGTATGACGATTTGATCAATAATTAGAAATTTTCCATTTTCATTCTTCGTTGTACCAATATAACCCCAGCAGAATTTCTCTAGAGAGAAATTTCGAAGTGCAGAGAAAATTGGTCAAACACAAAGAATCCAAAGAAATTTAGAATTTCTCTGGAGAGAAATTCTGAAGTGTAGAGAAAATTGGTCAAACACAAAAATTTCTCTGGAGAGAAATTCCATAGTCCAGAGAAATTTGTTTAAAACACAGAGAAACTAGAATTTATCTGGAGAGAAATTCCGAAGTCCAGAGAAATTTGAATTTCTCTGGAGTGAAATTTCTCTGAAGAGAAATTCTCTGGATTGAATTTTCGCTAGATCAATGTTGAGGGACCTTAGACATTATGAAAATATTTAGTATCCTTTACGCTATAAAATCTTAATACCAGGGACCTTAAAAAAAATTCATTTTTTAAAACAAATCAAATCAATATTTAATCAATTTTTCAAAATGACCCAAAATCATCACATCAACAACACCAGCAAGCATGGTCCTCTCCCATGTTTCTCTACCAAAAATGTTTAAGAGCACTAAAAATAGAATTTTAATGTGAGCTTTATTTATGTGACAGTGGGTCCCACTCATGAATGATTTTTGAGTAATGTTACGTATCATGAAAAAAAATATTATGAAAATGATCATGAAATATTCTCCACCGTTAGATTACACATACAAGAAAACACTACACACTAATCAAGGAATGAAAAATCTTCATGAAGTATTTCATGATATTTTTTTTCATAATCCTTATGATTATTCATCTTGTTTTTTTTTTTTTTTTTTGTTCTATACCACATCATTAGTGTCATTGTTAAAATTTTAAATTAGAAGTATGAATCAGGGTGATTATTCAATACTCCCGGAATATGGACACATGGTACTCCATAAAATTTTGATTGGTGAAGATATACAAAAACCCACAATTTATATTAAAAATAAAGGAACAACATAAGATTAATTAATTAATAATTAATTTAAAATATGAATACGTAATGTCCTATTGAATAATTTGCCAATGAATCATTGCTCCGTTTTCTACCCCTTACGGTCCTGCCTTATTGTCGACCTCATACTCAGTAGGTCCTGTCCGGTGAGACATGGACGCTAATTTTTTCTCTTTTTTTTTAAGTAGAGAGGAATTGGGCAATGCTCAAGACATAAATAAATTTGATGGAGTTTTTTTTTTTTTTTCAATCTATTTAATTTTATTTTTTACAAATTAATTAGGTAAAAAAATAAAACTCATTATTTCACATTGTTCTATTTTTTTTAGGGCAAAAATAATTTTTAAAAATTTAAAATTATCTTTATTGGTGTTTATTTTTGTTAAACTAAATATATTTTTAAAAAATGGTGGAAAAAAGCTTTTAAAATTAAACCAAACAAGTAAGAATAATGTTTGAGGGCCCGAAATGCTTGGCTCGAATCCGGCTCGAAGCCCAAAACGACGTCGTTTTGGGCTTCGAGCCGGATTCGAGCCAAGCATTTCGGGCCCTCAAACATTATTCTTACAAATCTTATAACGATCAGATGTATTAAGCTATGAACCAAAAACACCAACATCACTCTCCAATCACATGCTGTCTTGGTTTTAAAATATTAGTTTTTTATTTTATTTTTTATTGTTTTAAAATATTAATTTCTTTTTAAAAATTAAGAACTAAAATAATATAAATTTCTTATTTTGTCATTCTTTTAAATTTATTAACAATACAAAAAATATAATTATGACAATTGATATTTTCAAAAAAATATACTCTAGAGGATAATTTTAAAAAATTAATATTTTTAAAATATAATAATTGTACTATTAAAAAAATTTAAATTTCTCAAAAAAGTTTAACACGGAAGAAGTATTTGAAGTTTAAATGGCCATGATTCACCAGATGAAAACGACAAGAATGATCTGAGCTACTTCACTATGATGTGCTTGACCATGAAAATTGCAGTGAGGGAAAACTATGGGTTCGAGGATGATTTAGCTTGGCTAAATTAGTTTTATTTGGAAAGAATTTTTTGATTTTTTTATAAAATAAAAAAATAAAATGATTATAATTTGGATGTAACATTTTGTTTTCTTAACTTATTTAGCCTATTTTATCTTTTTATAATTTTTTAATCTCAATCCACCGCCAACCCACTTGCCAACCGGCAACAATGTATATTTTGATTTTTTTTTTTAAAATAGTGAAATTTGGTTAAAATTCTTTTATAATAAAATTTTAATGTATTAAGGATAAACATAAAAAAAAATTCTTGAAAAGTCCAACACATATTATTATTACCAAAATACTAAATATTACAATAATATAAGTTTTGATCTAAATGTATAGTTTTAATAAAATTAGTATTTTTATAATTCTGTTGTCACGATCTAACTCCGGTACCCAGAGGTTAGATGTCGCAACAAGTCAATAACTCAGGTCATCAAAGGTCAAATCAAAATTAAATAAATTTATAACATAGCGGAATAAAATAAAAGCATACCTACATATTTATTTTATTAAAAATATACATTAGAATTTTTATTTATTTACATTCCCAGAGTTAGACTATGATTACAAAGTATCGTGTGCTTACCTCATGCACTGGTCCTGCTACTTCCAACTTATGAACAAGGGATTAACACTCCTCCCTAGGTCACATCACTTGAAAGTGTTTAACAGTTATAAACGCATAACAGAGTGAGAAATATTATAGAGAGTATAAAGATATAAAAATCACTATGGGTAATACAGTAAATAGTTTGGTTCGAATAATTAAATTGTTTTAAATAGCAAAACAAAATGCAGAAATCATATAGTAAAATAATCATAAACACGGTACAGAACAAAACGGGAGTCAATGGATCTATAACAAACAGAGGATCACTAAAGCAACTAATCAGAAGGCCAATGATTATTTAAGTCCCCAAAACATAGGACCTCTATGGTGGTACTTATAAAATAATGGCTCAAAAACACGTTTAATAAACATTTATATCAATGAATTTCTTTTTTTAAGAAAATATAATTTATTTAACAAATAATATACCCTAAAAACTAATATAATTTACAAATCATAATTTATAGTAAGTCAAAATATAATAAAACTCATCTAAATATCGATTTCTAATTTATCCTCTTTTTTTTTTGGTAAACTAGAACTAATAGATAAATTAAATAGAATAGTACAAAGTTCTGGGATAACTAATCCCGCGAGCATCATCATACAGTTGATTAGCAATACATGGGGGAGCAAAGTCAAAAATATGTAAGCTATCGACTATAGGGGAGGCCTGATTTGCTAAAATATCCGCATAGCAATTCCCTTCGCGGTAGATATGATTAAGCATTTGGACGCCCAATTGTTTTAAGAGGAACTTGCAATCATGAATTAAATTACTCAAGTGGTGATTAGCATTTTCTTTATCCATGATGAGTTGTTTGACAAGCAAGGAGTCGGTTTCCACTTCAATGTTTCTGTAGCCTTCATCAAGAGCCAAATTTAGGCCATCTCGGAGAGCCCAAAATTTGGCTTCGAGACTTGAAGCAATACCAATGTTTCTGCAAAAACCCATAACCCATTGGCCCCATTTATCTCGGATAATTCCTCCTCTAAAGGCAGGCCCAGGACAGCCCTTGGCTGAACCATCAGTGTTCAATTTGTAGTTCAAAGATGGGGAGGGTGCCAAGAGATATGTTCGATGGATTGAGTTCGAGTAGTTACCAATGGGTTAGAAGTGTGCTGGCATTCAAGAGCTAAGGCAGTGACAAGTGAAGGGTTGAAAAGGGTGGGGTTGGTTGGAAAGAAGCAATGGGAATTTCTAGCTTTCCAAAGAGACCAACAGACAATAGGAAAAATAATGGACCAAGCAACATTGGTGGGATGGGGTTCTACAGAATGACAATTGGTGCGGATCCAATCCGTGAAGGCAAGGTTGAAAGAGTCCTTGAGAGGTGGAGATATCCCAATGGAGTTTCAGTGATCTTATGAGATTGGGCAATCTCGAAGAAGATGGCAAGTGGTTTCGGGTGCAAGCGAACAAAAGGGGCAGGTATCGTCGATAGTGATGTTTCAACAAAAAAAAGGAGGGATTTAGTGATGATACGTTGATGAAGACAAAGCCAAAGGAAGTGGGTTATTTCGGGACTAGCATGGATGTGCCAGATCCAATCTCAATTAGACAAAGGGGGGGATGTGATGAAATTTTTTGTAAGAAGGTAGGTAGATTTAGATTGAAAATCGCCATTCATAGAAAAGTTCCAAACAGCTTGATCGACATCTGAAGAAAACCAAGGAAGAGTGATACTTTTGACCTTGTTACCAATGGAGGGGGAGAGAACAAAAGAGATGGTGGAGAGGTCCCATGAATTATTGCACCAACAGTCACTAATTTTCAAAGACTCTTCGTCCATAGTGAGAGGACCGGAAATAAGATTCCTAAGTATACCAATTCCCGACCAGTTATGCAACCAAAAAGAAGTGTTCAAGCCATTCCTAAGAAGGATTTCGATTCCTTTTTCGATAATCCTGTTACCTTTTTGGATACCTCTCCAAGTCGGTGAAGCTATTGGTTCTAAGGTTGGGATTGTTGTACTTTGCACCAAGAACTTTGACCCACAAGGCTACTTTATTGCGTTGCAAGCACCAACTTAATTTAGCCATCGCAACATAGTTAAGGAGGTTAGTTCCTTTACTGATTGACTATATTTTTCGTTTGCTGTTTATTTTATTTTTCCTTGCTTTCATTCCCAGCACAAACTCACATATTTACAAGTGATCCTTCTACAACTTCTTGGTGCCAAAACTTTACCCAAGGCATATCCCCTAGGTAACTCTTTATATCTATTTTCACTTGGGCCATATCCTAAAATAATTATATTAACATCTCTCTTGGTAGCATATAATTTCTAATTAAATTATACTTTATCACATACTAACAGAAAATTAATTATTTACTTTACTATCACATTCACTATTATTATTAGTATTTATTTATTTATTTATTGTTTTGGTGTTTAATTCTTCAGTGTTCTTAATGTAAGTTAAATTACACTTTATTACATATAATCATAAAATTAATTATTTTATTTTATTTTACAGATTATTATTATTATTATTATTATTATTATTAATCGTGGTATTAATTAAATATTTAGGGTGTCACATAAACAATATAAACAAGCACGCAAATAACGTGAAACCCATAGATTTTAGTTCAGATGAAGCAGATTTGAGTAAGGCTCTGGTTTGTGGATGATCGACAACCACAGCGGAGCTCCTGTTTGATCTCCAATCTCAGCTCTAGTTTGCGGCCTTTGATAACAAAACCCTATGGCAGATCGAATGACACTACGGCAAAGGAAGGGGCGGCATGTAAGGCGGAAGCGCTATGTATCCTGAGTGGTTATCTTAAATAGGTTTGAATTCAATTTCAAAACCTATTTGGATAATGTTCAATTGGTAGTTCAAATGGTCATGCCATATGGACGCCCATTACTAACAACATCTAAAGAAAACCGAGGAAGAGTGATACTTTTGACCTTGTTACCAATGGAGGGGGAGAGAACAAAAGAGATGGTGGAGAGGTCCCACGAATTATTACACCAACAGTCACTAATTTTCAAAGACTCTTCATCCATAGTGAGAGGACCGGAAATAAGATTCCTAAGTATACCAATTCCCGACCAGTTATGCAACCAAAAAGAAGTGTTCAAGCCATTCCTAAGAAGGATTTCGGTTCCTTTTTCGATAATACTGTTACCTTTTTGGATACCTCTGCAAGTCGGTGAAGCTATTGGTTCTAAGGTTGGGATTGTTATACTTTGCAGCAAGAACTTTGACCCACAAGAACTTTGACCCACAAGGCTACTTTATTGCGTTGCAAGCACCAACTTAATTTAGCCATCGCAACATAGTTAACGAGGTTAGTTCTTTTACTAACTTAGTTCCTTTACTGACTGACTATATTTTTCGTTTGCTGTTTATTTTATTTTTCCTTGCTTTCATTCCCAGCACAAACTCATAAATTTACAAGTGATCCTTCTACAACTTCTTGGTGCCAAGCATAACCACGTGGCAAGCTCAATAATTGTCACACCGAGTAAGGTTATTCATAACTTTACCCAAGGCATATCCCCTAGGTAACTCTTTATCTCTATTTTCACTTGGGCCATATCTTAAAATAATTATATTAACATCACTCTTGGTAGCATATAATTTCTAATTAAATTATACTTTATCACATATAATCATAATATTAAATATTATTATTATTATTATTATTATTAGTTGATATTAACGTGGTGTTTAATTAAATATTTACAGTGCCACATTTCTCTCCTTTTAAATAAAAGTTTATTCCCAAAACTTATTAATTATATTCTTTTCCAAGCATTAATTTAACTATTTTATATAATAAAATAACTAATTTGACTTAAGGCATTCAAAAATAGATAATAGTATGATTTTTGTAAATAGTATTATTCAGGGTGTTATATCTCTCGTCAAGATATGTTAAATAAGATTCATGTTGACCATGAAATTCTTTTAAAAAAAAAATATTACCGTCGAAATTGATATAAACAATAACATGTTACTTTGATTCGCAGTAACATGTTACTCTGACAATATTGTCAAAATATATATATATATATATAGTTTACTTTATCCTTACTCAATTATGCACTTCCTCCTTTGGAGCTTTATGAAGCAAAATAAATTAGACTGTCTTTTTCACTGAATAAGGATCTAATATAGGGATTTTGATTAAAATTTTCTTTTAAAATATTGCTCCACGTCTATCTTAAAATGAGACAAAGAAAGGTAGTAAGTCCCACTAATTCAATCAATCAAATCAAAATTTAGGGTAAAATATAAATACACTCTTAATATTTGTTTAAAATATTAATGGCCTTATGTAATTTTAGAAATTACAAATACCCGCATATTATAATTTTTTATTTAACAAAATTAATAAAAATAAAATAAAATTTCTAATTACTCTCCTATATTATAATAAAATTATTTGAATTGTTAATTGAAATATATTTATCACATTATTTAAAACAGTTAATTACCTTGATAATTTATTAATAAAACATGTCATTTTTTTTTGCGATTAAAAATTTAAAGAAGTAAAATGTAACTTTTAGATAAATAATTTATATTTTAAACAAATCTCAAAAAAATATTTATAATTTATCTTAAAAAAATTTAACTTGCTAAAAAAACACCAAATGATTTTCCGTATATTTCACTCACTGCGAATGATTCACAACCCCATGTCCTGTGCATGGGCAGTAGGAATGGCAACGGGCCAGGTCGGGGATTACACTCCCCATCTCCAATCCCTGAAGGCAAAAAAATCTCTGTCCTCACTCCTGATCCCCGGCTGGGAAACCATTACCTCTTGCCCTTGCCCCCTAACGGGATCGGGTTTCCAAGACCTCAAAATATCCCTGACTTTTTCTTTTTTTTGAATTTTTGAATTTTGTTCAACACAAGAATAAAAAAAAATTAATTTGTTTTATGTTTCATCATCATTGTACGAGCACGAAATAATCTTCTCGTATAACCCTGTTGATCAAGTTTGCACTCCTCCAAACGTTGTCACTTTGCTTCCTGAAAACATAAACGTGAGCTAGCTGGCGGGTGTGTGCCGGATACCTCTCCGATGCCTAAGCCAGCCAATAGACAAAAAGCTCTGTGTGTTAGAGAGTAAGAATTGTAATACCTGTACATAGGTCCTATCATCAGCTTTTATAGATTTTGCCTGGCACAATCCTAGTAGGACTTCAACTCTCTTTAGTAAAGTCCTCCTAGGAATCCCAAAGATAATGCTTATCTTTCTATACCATTCTAGTGAAGAGTGTCTGTCCTGATAACACTCTACTCACTACCAACCAAGTAAGATGGTTTTCTCCTTTGTCTAAGCCGGTGCAACCTAACCGAGTTAGATTATTTCGATTATGCTCTCAACTAAACAATGATTTAGATGGCATTCGACCGAGCTACACCTAGCTCGGCCTTCTTTCTTACAAACACCTCAGCTAGCCACCAAGCCTAGTTTTTAGGTAGCTCGGTCAAACCCCTCTGCCCAGTTTGGTACCCAGACAACATGGGATCGAGCTACTCGAAGCCTATAGCCCGGCCCTTAGTCCGGCCCAAAATAGAGATTAAAGGATCGTAGCTCGGCCCAATTTTTCTTTATAAATTACCCTCTCAATTGCCCCTTAATTCCATCTGCAAAGCATGTTTGGGATTATCTTTCTCCACCCGAGCTAAAACACTCACGCAACCAAACTAAAATAAGCAACAATACCGATATTAAAATATTCAATCCCACCGAACTGGGTTAGCTCGGTCCTTAGTACCGTGCCTGTTACAACCTGTCGTTTCACATACCTGACATCATGTCCTATCCGTCACACGTGGCACCTATCCATTGCGTTTCTGTTCTGTGACAGCCGTCACACACTTACCAAAAAATATTTGAAAAGTCCTCCCGTTTTTGTGCCTCCTCAAAACCCATTACTTGAATCAAACCTTCACTGTTCACCTTCTTTCCCTCTGCACTTTTGAAACCTGCTATTGTGCCTCCTGCACTCCAGTCCTTTCCTCTTCACTTGCTCTCTTGTTGGCTGGATTTTGCTTTCACGCTTTAACCCGTAAGTTGCTTTAATACTTTTTTCTAATGTTCCTTTGTACTCATTTCTATATTTGTAGTATTTGACCTCTATATACGCGTGTTTAAAATGAACAAACACCATGAACTCAAAAACCTTACTCCCAAGCTTAAAGGCTCACCAACTAGTTTTCAAAAACATGTTTTTTGATCCAAAGTCGCTCTGAGACCGAACTAGGTACTTGTTTGCGACTTCTAGGTTTATTCCTAACCGAGCCATAAACCTTGAGTCGGTCCCGATTTACGACCGAACTGAAAACTGACCATAACCCAGATGTAGCCGAGCTAGGTTTACTTTACTCTGCCTGTTTACTTAGCTCGGTCCAGTTATCTGGGCATAACACTTTATTGTCACTTTGCAAACTCAACTAGGTTGGTCAGGCACACCTTTGCACCCTGCCCCTAGACGGCTTTGCTCAACCGAGCCAACCAAAGCGTCAGCCACGCCGAGCTAGGCTACTGTGAACAATTTGACAAATATTAAGTTAACATACGTAAATATCGGTTTCTAGTGGACTCCCCTGTGGCCATAGCTGAATTCCGAAGGGACTACCAAATTCCTGACGGCGTCTACCTCTCCTTAGTCGAACTAGAAACAACACCCTGGGCAAACCAGGCTTCGTCCTGTTTGTCATGATATCGATCGTAGAAGCCGGCCTTCGGTTTCCCGTTCAACCACTCATATGTGAATTCCTTAGGCAAACAAGAATCTGCCCAACCCAACTCTCCACAAATACTTATAGGATAATAAACGGCATCGCCGAGCTAAACCGCCGGCTTGGCCTCAACCTCAAATTGGCCAAACTATTCCACCAATATTCACTCGGCCAAAATGACGACAGTTGGGTGTACTATTTAAGGGTAAGAAGAGGCCGAGAAAAAATTATAAAAAACACACCGGATAAAGACTTAAATGATGACGACTTCCTTTGGGTTTCTGGAAATTTTGAAGACCAAGAAGCCCATATATTGGGCTACA